ACCCATCAAATACCAAACGCACGCACGGACAGTCTTTGCCAACACGCCTGCCGTTCTTAATTACTTCTGCAAACGAGTTGACTGAACGGCCATCCCATCCCGGGGGAAGGGTATCAAGAGACGACCGGCATTTGAACTTCACCTGCTGGGGTGATTAGCGGGGAGAAAGATGCCACTGATAATGAACCAAATGCCAGCCGAACTCGTCCGTAAGACCCAAGTCAACATTCTCGTTGGTGTATCTTAGTAATTAAAGGGATGAACTTGAGACCTTTGGACCTTTGATTAAATAATTGATGGCGGGGAAGTGATTTAATTAACGAATTCCGAATTCCGATGAGGCTTGTTATTGCATGCCAATGGTCGTTTCTGATTGGATTAAGCTACGCTTTCCTCGTTGTCCATATGTGATTGGCAATGTAATTGGCTGCCATATTGGATTACAGCGCTAACACTGCTATTGTTGCCAAAAAAATACAAATGTAGTGACAAATTTGTATTATTCTTTTTCGGGGGAGGGGGAGGGGGTGGGGAGAGGTGGGGGGTGGCGTGAAGCATAGTGCCTCTGCATCTAGCATGAAGTAAATTAGTCTTCAGGATTTTAAAATGTATGTGGGGTGCTGTGGTCCAATGTTACAGTGTTCGACTCGTGTGCCGTGGTACATGGGTGCGAATCCTGACAAGGAACATGGTGCTTGTGTTCTTGGGCAAGGCACTTTACAATGATTGCCTCTCTCCACCCAGGTGTAGTAAATGGGTACCGTACACTCATGTACATCTGTGTACATGTACCGGTATGTAGGCCTTTTTATTGACATGTGGGGGCGCTGTTTAGATTACACATAATGTGCAGAAAGCTTCCATATATTTTAACACTACTCTTTCAGGGATGTTATGGGATCTCACATTTTTGCAAGAAACTTTAACTATACATTACCGTACACATTTGTTTATGGTGTTAATCGAGGATTTTCTATTGTTCCTCATTATCAATCTTTTGTTCATACCTTAACTTTTTTGCAACAGCTCCCATTGGTTTTGTACATGTTTTCTAATCGAGGACGTCCTCGATTTGACTCCTGTCCTCAATTACACAATGATGTTTCACATGTGTGTCCTCGATTTACATCATAAACAAACCCACGCACAAAATGTATTTTACACATACAGCGTACAGTGTGTAATGTACGATGTATGGCGCCAATCGGGAATATCTGCAATTTGAACAAGCCTAAAAATCCTAAAATTGCAGAAGGGCTAAAATCCTTGTTCTTTGTTTAACACTCCCTCTCTGGCTGGCAATTTCAACAAGGCCAGCCTAGCAGTCAAAATACATCAAGTGACTGTTGAGTGCTCCCTGCCTTCATAAAGCAGGATTGACTGGCTGTGATTGTCATGAATCCTGATATACATGTACAACTGTAGGAGATTGATAAGCCAGCTGTGCCTACCAGTTGCCTGATTTTGTCTGTTGATGGAATATGACGGTCACAGTGCCTACAAGAAATATGATCTGACTGTTGGCGACTATCCTGTGTAGAAGGCATGGCAGGGGAAGAGGATTGAACGTTTGACTGTCTGTGACTGATCGAACAAAAGGAGGGTAAGGCCAAAAAAAAAAAAACAATCGGTCTCTGGTCAGACCGAAGTTCCGGAATTGATGCGGCGACGCGTTTTTTTTGGTGGCTTTTTTTTTTTTTTCAAGCCAGACAAAATAATGAATTGCACAGACAAGATGAGTACTATTTTGCTTTTTTGTGTCCTCATTATACATTGGTGTCCTCCATAATTTGCCTTGGTGCAATTTCCCCATTCCTTGGTGCTCCTTGGTACAAAAATTTGAGGTGCATAGAGGGCGCTGTTGTAGCCTCCGTGTTAATTTCAAGAAAAAAAAAAGGTTGACGCGCATGATTAAAATCGACGCGCCCGCTGACAAGAGACCGAGTAATTTGGGGGGGGGGGGGGGGGGCCTTAATATAGTGAACTTCAGAGCCATTCCGACACTCCCCCAATCCTAATCCCCCTGGAACCGGAACAGCCAACAGCGACTGATTTGGGGAAGTGTCAACTCTTCCATGTATGTGTCTTCCGACATGCTGATAGGCAATTGCGTCTTTAATGGCTTTTATGCAATACAGGATCATGTTTGTCATGGCAACATATCTCCTAACCCCCCATGAATTATTCCATGTCAGTTAATCTTCTTCAATTCCAAACCTCCACGGGAAACGAATGAGACGGTTTCAGCACATTTCAAAACGATCAATATTTTTTAGGCCGCGGCTATTGTTGGCACTATTAGATTTGTTTTTCCTGATCAAGGACAATGGGTGTGGACAAGTCGATAGATTTTTTGTACACTGAAATAGAATTTAATTACAATGAATGAAAAATGATTCATAACAGCTGTGCGAGGCACAAGAGAATGTGTACACGTCATCTACAAAACACGTACCTACCGTGCATGTACAAAGCAGTGAGTAAAATTTTGGTCAGACATATTGGATATTATTATTAATATCGGGCTTCCAGTGGTAAAATAAATCAGCGTACATGTATTGTATGCTTTCGTAAATAGTACCCCGACGACTGCAATATTATGTCAGTAAAAGTACCGGGCTAAGGACAATATTACTTTTGATATTGTCCTCATTCGGGCATTTTCGCTGGTTCCCGCACGATCTAGAGCATAGAAACTCACACAAGTTGTCAACTAGTCAACAGAGCGTAGCGCATGGTACCATCGCGCCCGCACGCACACGCAGTGCGCAGCAGGGTATACGTACCTGCTATAAACAACAGTGGCAGCTTTGAGCGGCGCAAAATTTGCTTCAGTAAAAATGAGGAATAATGCAAAGAAATTTGAGAAATAAAACCACCCTGAAATATATTTCTTGCAGATCAAGTCAGCCCAATATAAATAACAATAATAATATTAGATGCCTTTTTTTCGGGGGATACATATGTACATGTACAAGAATATATTGCACTCGCAATAACAATATTGCACGAGTCGATATTTATACATGTAGCTCGTGCAATATATTCTTGTATTTCCCGCAAAGTCATCCAATATGATATCTGACGGTTAAAGTTGCTCTTCAACAAATTCAAATTTTTTTTTTAAAATGAATTTCCAATTTTTTATACCGAAAAAAAAAACCCAACTTTTTTCCTCTTTTTTAAACCTCTGCTACCCTCTGAAAAAAAAGGTTTTGTTTTAGGCACAAACAGATCCGTATAGCAAGCAGACTGGTTTCCGGTCTGTACATTGTACATCATCGATACTAATTTTCGGGCGGGCATCAGCCTAACCCACGAGAACTGATTTATTGTCTGGCAGCTAATAGTGGAAATTGTAAAGTAATAGTTCAATAAAATAAACATGGGACGTTTTTTTGGGGGGGGGGCGGGGGTTATTGCCGCATTCAAAAGTGAATAACTATTGTATTGCTTGAGACATAGAAATTTAGAAAAGGAATCTATTTTTTGGGATGAAAGTTGAACATAGCACAGGAAACGCAACCTTAACCTGTTCACATGTCACAGCTCAAGATTTTCTTGTGCTAGGCCATGTTGATGGACCAATTCTTTATAAACTTTTGAAATGTTTAAGCCCCATGTGCTAACATACACATGTACATGTACATTGTACATGTAAGGCAGTTTTACAAAGATATGAAGTTTACATCTTTCAATTGTGTACAAAATTCTGAAGGAAGTTACAGGGCTCCCCAAGAAAAGTTGTTTGTCTCATTTTAACCTGTCATTTGCATGAATCATATTCAAGGGATTTAATCAAACTTCAATGATCTTACAATGTATAACGACAAACGGTCGGCAAAGTAGGGATTTTGACCAAGATAATACTTTGATCTAGCCGTTCCTATTTTTACACCAGATCAATGAATTTGAATACATTCAAATGCAAATGTCATCCCGGTTTTCCTTATATTTGCAATAATTCCCCTAAAATGCCGTTGGAATGTATGGAGAAAAATGGGCAGGGAAAATATTTTTAAATTAAAATTTCACAAGTTAATACCCATCGTAGGTACACATGTCATCAAAATATTTACGGGACTGGTGCTATCATAATTCTTAGAAACGTTGTTTTATTTTTATTTTTAAGTGATCTTATTAATGTAAATTCATCAAAAACCAGTACAGTGGAACACCGCTATCACAAACACCGCAGGATTCACAGAAATTGTTAAGTAATAGCGATAGTTCGGTATAGCGATTTTAAGCTGCCGGTGCTCCGGTACTCACTGTTCAATAAAAAAGTGCCTTTCAGAACTTCACCCTGCACGCCCTGGTAGTTACGGAAAGACGACTTTGAACACGTGCCGACTATACTGAATTATGTAATTACACAGTTTTTGAGCTAATTACCTACAGCAATGGCCACTAAATAATAGCCACTTGTCACTTTTCTGTTGACATTTTTCAACAACAATTTTCTGTACGGTTTGTACACAAAAATCGGGAGCCAAGGATGATGTTCGGTATAACCGAATGTTCGGTATAGCGGTGTTCAGTGTAATAATATAATAATAATGCACACCCCAAACCTCAACTGACATTTTGGTAGTAATTTGTTTTTTTCTTTTCATTTTAATCTTTATAAAAACACTTAGGAAATGTGTCTGTTTTTACACGCTCTTTGAAATAAAGCCCCAAATTCTATCTCTGCAGATTAAATCAAAAACTCATTTCCACGGCATAAAAAAACTTATTTAAAACTTTTATTTATTAAACTTAAAAGTCTTATTTTCACACTTATATTACAGGTTTCTGATTACCAGCAAAAAAAAGAAATCATAATACAAACACATCCATGCACCAGCGCACTGCTAAACCAAATATTGAGCTCCGGACATATTTCTTTTGGTTCAGTGTTTATTGAATCAACGTCCCCAAGGCTCCTGTTAATGAGATTTTTCCTCGCTTTTGACGAGACCCGTCTTTGTTTCCGTCAAAAGTCCGAGGAGACCTACCTGCAAACTTGGGGTTCTTTTCATCCATGGACAGGAAGCAATGGTCGAAAGCGAAGGTCTGAAAAGGAGAAAGAAAAAAAGAGGAAACGCTAATGAGAATCGGAAATCGTAAAATTTTATGACCTTGGTTGCTATGGCAAAGGATTTATTAATAAAAAAATTGTGTAAAATGATGGTTACAGCAAGTTTGGAAGGTTCTAAGAAGGATTTTAAAGGATTTGCGAGGGTTAGTGTAAATGAGACTTTGAATTTAAAATGGCCGACAGCATTTCAAAATATTGCATTCTATGTCTGGTTCCACGCATCATTCCCTCTGCATGCACCTGCGCCTGCATGACAGGCAGGTTGCTAAGGTCAGGCACCAGGCTCCCGACGGTCCATAACATCTGAATAATGGCGATTCCAAGCGTGTGATTTCCAATCATGCAAAAACTACCCACGCGATAAGAGAAAGATGCATTTTCTACTCAAATCCAAGGCAGGAACCGGCGTTTCGATAGGCAATTTCTTTCGGGAGCTCTTAAGGGATCCGCTTTGAAGGTTACAGGATGATTGAGAATTAGGGGAAGGTTTACATATCTTTTTTATTTTTACAATCTAATGTGCTGTCCTTGTTGCTGATTGGTCAAGCCCATAGCAACAACCAAGAACATTTCATCAGGTGCCCGGCAGAAGGACATATGAGCGTTCTGACACAGAGTCACTTTTCAAGAAAATTGGCTTCAAATTCCCCACGCGTATTGTGAATCCAATGTTCTCCCACACATATTAAAAATCGAACACATATTTTATTTGTCACACATATGAATCATAATTTTGGAACAGCTTTTGTTAACTTCTGATAAAAATGTTTAAATTTCATTAAAATACATGTAGAGGCACTTTTCTGCATACATGTACATGCCCTTTTGCTGGAAAAATTTTGGTGATTACGCATTCACACGTAAGGGCGCCCTTCTGCCAGGCACACAACGATTTATTATCTTAAATATTGGAGTGTTTTTTTCTTTTCAAATGTAAAACAAATTATTTTTTCAAACAAAGCAAGCAATGCCGCTATTTACATGTACACTGTATGTACATGCATAAGTCCTGATAGACAGCATAAGTTACAAAAATAAAAATTAAAAATCCAATTTGGATGAAGACACACCCAAAGATGCACATGTTTACGTTACATACGCAGTGTGGACATTCCTTTGTTTTTGTGTAGTTAAAAAAAAACTGTGAAAAAACTCATTTTACTCACACTGTGAAAACTCTTTCAACCCAAATTTGTTTCTATAGATGATTCCCTTAAGTGTTTCTCTTCATTTTGCCACAAATAAACCTAACCCAAAAATGCTTCTAAACCTGTTTTCCAGAGAGGGGGAAACACTGTGTGGACGTGGGCAAGTCCACACAACGTCGCTGCTACCTGGTTTATGTGGACATCTTTTATTCGGATGTCCACACAGTGAATGTAATGCTTGTACACACACAGCAACAGACCCCAGGTAAAAACTAAAAGGAACCCCATGACATACTCCAAGAAAGACCACAGATGCTCCACTAGGCAGACCCATAAAGAGACCCTGAAATATTCCCTCAGAGAGACCCCGCGACAGAACCAGAGACAGACCTTACATCCTAACCCTCCAAAATCCTCCAAAATCCTCCTGGCGGCTTTTGGAGGATTTTGGAGGATTGAGGATGAATGGTGTTTGCATAGCTGCCAACTTTTCAAAATCCCAATTAGTAATCAACCCGCGCGGTCATTTTCAACTTCTCGTTTTATCAAAAGCTTTACCAACATCGAGTACACGTACATGGTTTACATGTACACATACATGTGCATACCCTTCCTGTTGTGAATAATAATGTACTGTAGGCCAAAAGATTATTTTTTGGTTTTTTTTTAATTTAAAAAAAAAAAATTATTATTATTTTTTTTTTTTAATTAATTTTGTTTTAATGTCTGTATTTGTTTGTTGAAGTCAAAAAAATAATAACAACAATAACATGAGCGCATATGTTTTTTGAGATGCATGCTATCGATGTGGAGTTTCGAGTTCGTATCATGTTTTTACACACAATGATTTAGGGCCACCGTATGCAATAGAAATATCCCGCCAACATACCTTGCAAACGCATGCTGATTTATCTTTTCTGGACGTTGTGACAAACTCAAACTCTATTACCAATTATTCCAACCATACTCTTATTAAATTCCATGATTAAAATCTCGCACTGATGGGTCTCATCCCGGCAATAAGCGACTAAATGTTCTCACGATCGTCACTGAAAAGTACTCACAGTCACATACAGTACACACAACCACACATCCACGAGATATAGATGCACACAAATGACACACCATTGAAAAATATTTTTAGTCTGGTCCTCAAGTACTCCACTGCGCACACTGCATTGATGTCTATCAGGTGCTTGACTGCATTCTTATTAGACTTGTCACCAGTCCATCCATTATCGCGATATTTCGCCAGAAGTTCTCGGTCAAAAACGATACTCTACAAGTATTTTTTTTTTCGTTAGGTAGAAAATGGGAAATTCGTAATGTTTTAGTGGCAAATCGTATTTTCGTAATTTAACAAACAATTCGTAATAATTACGAAAAAATCGTACTAGTTGGCAGCTATGTGTTTGAGAAACATGAGGATTTTGGAGGATTGCAGATGAATGGTGTTGAATGAAGCACATGAAGAGTTTGGAGGATTGAGGATGAATGGTGTTTGAAGAAGAGGAGGATTTTGGAGGATTGACATGATTGAGGATGAATGCATTTTGAGAGGGAGGACTTTCTGTGTGTTTTCAAGGATTGAGGCGCTCGGTATCCTTCATTTGAACATAAGTGCAAACTTTTGGAAGATTTTGGAGGATTGAGGATGGTTCTTAGCAAAAGGGCCTAGAGCAAGTAGGGGGTTAGGTTTAAACATTGCCCAAGACAGGAGACACACCCAAAGCAAGACCAAGGAGCAGACCAAAAAGCAGACTCTGATGTACATGTATCCCCAGAGACAGACCATCTTAGATGCTAAAACACTTTTATACTACTTGTGGATAAAATATACACTAAGACAGATTGCAAGACAGACCCTACAGCACACTCCAAGACAAACCACAAGTCACAATCCAAATCACACCTGGACCAAACCCCAAAAGAGATGCCTAAGATGATACCTAAGACAAGACATATCCCAAGACAGACCCAGAAGCCTGTACTTCCAAACCAAGATGATAATGATAACAGACAAGACGCAAAAACAGTATCACTCCAGTGACCACAACTAAAGTAACAGAATCTCGCAGTCACCCAATTAACAATTCTAGAGGGCTCCCAAAAAGCCCCCTCAGCCAAAGACATTCAAAGGGAAGCGCCGCCGAAGAAAACATCCCCCCAAATTGAAGAAAAACCTCGGGCCAAATTAGCTAGGGGGTCAGAAGTGCTTTCTTGAAAGAGGTTTTTCTTTCACGGAGGGGAAAGGAATCGTGCGGAGAGAGGAAACGACTGGATAAATAATGCTAAGGGATCTTGATAGATTGGGAAGGAGGAGAGTTTTCCTTATCGGAGGGAAGGATCTCTGGGACTGGAGGAGGGAGTTGATGAGGCGGGGAGGTTGCCGGGGTGAATGCGGGATGAGGATCGCATCTCATGTTTGGGTCGTTGGTCCTCTGCAGCGAGATGCCCTGAAACTATTTGTATATGAAAAAAAAACTGCAATGGAGGATCTGAGACCAAAGCAGGGATGTTGTAAAAGATAACATCCAAATTTATTATGTTTTGTAAAGCAAATACTGCGAATTGTTGGTATTAAAAAAAAACTGTCCAAATATGATGAACAGCACCAGTATGATTCATTGGTGATAAAAATTAATCATGACGTGAATGTGCATTACCATAGCAACCGTAACTTTATTAAAAAATTGTCAAGGCATGCCTACGGTAGCACTGAAATACATGTACAATACATACATGTAGTACATGCACATACGGGTGCTACTGAACATTTTGTATTTTATATTTCTGAACGCAACCAAAAACGGGAACAAATATTCAATAAAGGTTATTAAGATGAGAAAGAGAAGATAATTTAACTATTTAAAAAATGAACCGAGACATGTACAGGGTGAGTCAGAATGATCTGGACCCAAGCTCACCATTTTTTTGTGGCAAATAATATGGTAGATAGGCCTATAAATTGAGAAAATACTGAGTGCTTCATATGAATTTTGAATTTTTCAAATTAGTGGCTGTGGTGAGGAGTTACCGTATGCCATTTTCATTGAAGTGGCTCATTTTCCAGTCTGCACACAGAATTGGTTTTGCCTTTTTTTTAATGTGTCAATAACTTCAAGTGAGTCAGTCACCATGACTAGGTTTTTACTTGTTAACACCTTTATCATGCTGCCACCATTTCAGTCATGTTCCCCGTATCCAATAACAGTACTGAATGATAATGTTTTTGTGCAAAAAGGAACCAGACTATTTTTTCCTTCCAGTCTCGCTTTGGTTCCATTGATTTGAATGGGAAATCATGCTGCCACCATTTCAGTCATGTTCCCTGTATCCAATACAGTACTGAATGATCATGTTTTTTGTGCAAAAAGGAACCAGACTATTTTTCGTTCCAGTCTCGCTTTGGTTACATTGATTTGAATGGGAAAAAATCAAGGTGGCCGCAACATGATAAAACAGGATTGCACACTGCTTCACATCAGTACGCGATTTAAATAAATTTGTTGAACCATGGAACTGTAGTCAGAGTGTTTTTAGCGTGTGTTCTTTGATAGCGCTTTTCTTCAAAATGGTACAATGGATATGAAACTTTCACCAAATACATGTAAAAAATACCAGCATACATGTAACATGTATACCTCATTTGCTCTTTTTTTAATAATTGCTACATATTTTTAATATTTTCTTTAATTTGGGGTCCAGATCATTCTGACTTACAGTGTACCCTGTACAAAAAGGGTAATTTATCGGTAAACAGAGAATTACAGATGATTTATTTTTATTTTAGCCACAAAATATTACTCTTTGTACAATTGTGTATTGCCATGTGCCAATGAACAATCTTCTGGTTACCAATGGTTACTGCTCTGGCTTTTTGCAATGACACGTTCACAATGACAACACATAAGAATCTATAGCCGCGGTCAAAAATACCCATTTCTGGCACAGCTCTATACGACAACTGCTTGAAGCTATATTTAAAGCAGTTTGCAAAGTGACAGCGAGAAATGACCATATAATCCTACGATGGTCTACTACACAATAAAAGCGGCAAAATTGCCCTGAAAAAAATAATAAAATGCTCATCTTCATTGCCCGTAGGCTGACAATTTGCGGACCCTTCTTGCCATTCTTGAGTCTCCCCCGAGAAAGGAGTCCGAAAGGACGCAAAACCTTTTGCAAAATAGATTCGCGCCCTCGGGGGCTAATCGTAAGAGTACCCCGGTACCCAACGATGGGTCAATTTTCGGCAGCCAGTTTTAAACCGGTGGGATTTCTAATAACAAAAGGCTGGTACAGGCTTCGCGCAGGCGGACTTGGAAAAGAGCAAAGGGATACTTCTTTTTTTTCTTTTTTTTCGTGACGTCAACGATTGAAGTTTTTATTGTGACGTCTGCTGTTACCCTGACGAATTCGATTGCGTCTCGTATTTCGCGTGAGGTATGAACTCGGATCTACATGTACCTTGTCGAAGGCAAGGCAGGGATTGGATTGCTTGTGTGTTTATTTTGGGTCTCCCTCTCCCCCCCCCCCCTTTTTTTAACCCTTTTTTTGTTGGGGGGGGGCCTTTGGAGCTAAAAGAATTGGACATCTGTATGATTATTGCTCATTTTATCACTTACCTTGGGTGATTTCCTATTGTCCAGAAAGGAAAAGGCGGCACATGAAAGAAAAAGAGACAGAAAAAGGCACAAAAAAATTAGCGCAAGATAAAAACATTTGTAACGCAACACAAAATTTCTTTGGAAATTTTTTTAACGTCGTGGGGTGAATTTTTGGCGAGCATTATTTTCTTTCATTTTTTCAATTTAACCCTAACTTCATGAACTCCATCAAAATCCATCCCCCTTTTTTGGTGGATTTTTGGGGGGCTTAGTCCTGCAGGCCTGGTGTGACTAAATATTGATGGAGTATGATGGACTTGGGCCTGGAGGCCTATAAAGCAAAGCATGCATTGGAAGCAATGTGACAGACTTGGTCAATTTACATAGCAAAAGAGGTAAAATTGCACATGATTTACCCAAAAAATAGACAACAAAAAATGATGTAAGTGTCATATTTAAAAGGTAAAATAAAGAGGAAAACTTTGTCTATTAACAGGGAGCAGTTTATGTACTTCAGTTTTCACAGATCAAAACTCTTCTGTAAAAGCTTTCATATTCTTTTCTATAAATGTCTTCTAATTACAGTGTATTTTCACACACTTAAATCCATAGTTCATTGAATTCTCCTAGCAAATGACAACACTTCTCCCTGTAGTTCCGCCATCCCTTAAACAAATCAAAATCGAGCTGTCAACTTTCCAGCTTTTACAGATTCTTCAAACCCGGACCAGCCTGCAAGTCTCCAAGTGTCATTTTTATTCCCTTCTGATTATTTCAATAATGAGGACGACCTTTTCGTGACCTCATATTCTTGATTTGTGAGGTTGACTGGGGGTTTATGGGAAACCAAGCCCGCCAAGGAATTCACAAGCGCGTGTCATAAATTTGGGTCATAATTTGTCAAACTCGTCAGTGCTGGATAAGCAATTTGCCATAATAACAGTCGTTACAAATTGATGACGACACATTACAAATGCCATTGGCCTAATCTGTACGTGTATTGTACATGTACATGTTACATGTACATACATGTGTACTAAATTTACCAGTGCAATGCATACTATGCACATGCACATATTTACAAACAACATGTACATGTGCAAGCTCTATGGATCTACAATACAAGTTTGCATCTTTACATCATGTTCCGTAGTTGTCGGACTACCGGTACATGTATACTTGAGTTGTCCCATGGTACTATGGGGACCGAAGATGCTGTGGGGACAGCAGAAAGTCACCATAACTCAGTCCTAATTTCTCTAACTACTGACCAGTGCGATGACAGCCAAGGGCGGATCCAGAACACAATTTTTTTTTGGGGGGGGGGGGGGGTGGGGCCAAAAAAATGTTGGTCCCCCAAAATCGGGTCCAAAAAATTACGCCAGGGAGTTCGGGACCCGCTTAATAAGGGCCCCGAAAAAATTTGGATTCTAGATGCAAATGCAAAGTGAATTTAACGTCATGAAACTTTCGCAATGAACCGGTCTTTTTTTTTTTATAGTATATCCTTTGCAGCTATCCCAAAAGTACGTGTAACTGACGAAATTATTGTTGAAAAGCTTATTTGATTTAAAGATAGTAATGGCACTAAACTCCCTGTGATATCATTCCTTCTGGCATGCTGTCATTTTGAAGAAAGCAACAAGAGAAGGTCATTTCCAAAGACGCATTTTGGAAATTGTCATTGGTAGTTCGTTTTTAATTCGCCGAAACCGTGAATGGGTGCGTGCAAGCATTGACATTATACGCACATGCACGCGCGGTTGCTTTTATACGTCAGTTCAGTGCCTGATATCGCACAGCTGCAATCGGCTGAATGAGAACGTGTTCCGAACGCTGCTGATTTCAGGCACAATTCAAAACATGACTCTGCAACTTTTGAATTGAAACCAAGATCCTACCGGTAGAACATTGTTTTCTCGGAGTATAAATACAGCATGCACTGACCTACAATGTATAACTTCATCAGGTTAGTTGTTAAGCACCCGTCTTTAGATTTTGAGCATTTTTGTTGCTTCGAACAAAAAACAAATGACAAAATGATCTACCCTCCCTTTAAATTTTCCATTGCCCTACATGTTTAGTACAGACCGTGTATAGAAATAGAAGTGGTTTAACAGAGTTGACGCAAACTGCATAGTGTGGTAAAATAACACGCATCAATAATGCTCAAATTTTGCACTGCTGGTCGGTTGTCTGTCAATATGACGTCACAGGTTACACGATCTATGCATTGTGCCTAAACATCTTCCCAATCACTCGCCCCAATTTGTATTATTTTTTACCAGCGTCCCACAACAGCTTCATTAAAGCATGTACGAGCTCTCTCATCAAAAGCGTGCGTATCAATACAACACACAAGGCCTCGGGGTCATTCTGCGTGTGTGTGTGTGTGTCTTAATAAAAACTTCACACGATCGTCGCTTCAACGTGCGCACGCTGGAAATAAATCGGTACAGGCAGTGACGTCCGTTTGTCGGGGAGATGTAGGGGGTATCTATCGAGTTTGGTTTGGAGGCAATTGTTAAAGGGGGACTGTGGTGTGGTGTGCCCACTCGTCGATAAAGGACAAATCCATTGTCTGTGTCCATTTTCTGTAATTAATATTTTTCTGAGATTGTAATATACACAGTTTAAATGGATACATCATATTTACATACTATGTGTTTTACATAACCCCCGAAGACCGACACACACAAAGGGAGAACAACAGATCCGTTCAGTCCTCGGAAGTTGTGTCTTTTTGTTGGAAACAGTCCTCTGCAGTAAGTTTGTGTGCTTGTAGTCTATGGGAGAGTGTTATATTACAGGGACAAAGGAAAACACAAAGCATTGTCCTCAAGAGTACAGTAAAACAAGAGTGAATGTACATACATGTATGTACATGTACATGTACAAAAGGTCGAACGCGTTTATGAAATTAGTCTTTAAATATCAATTTGAGTAACTATTGCTAAACACACACACACAACATTGAAGGCGCCCTCTCACATTTTGTGTTTTCATCTGTCCATCTCAAAACCACCCCAAGTTATTCATCCCGATTCCGCCCTTTTGACGACAGAACCGTTTTTCTCTTCGCCAGGGGGTCCGTAGGCCAGACTATATAATCCCTTCATGCATTATACGCAACGCTGACGACAAGAGTGCGGCCCTTTTAAAATCAATAAGATGCTGCCATTGAAACACGAGAGGCAACCTTGTCCCCAGGCAGGTCAAGAGATTTCTCAATATCGTTTTGTAAAATGACCGAGAGTGCGGGCATGCGGCCGCAACTATTGGTCCAGTTATGGTCGCCAGTTGGGTCATTTTATGAATCTGGGTCCACTTTTTGCCCGCTCCAGTTACATCTGACATCTCTATGATTATATAATTCTGATGCACTTCTTTCAATAATGCAGTCGTCCTCCAAGCGTGATTCTGAATATTTAGCGGACTACAAATGTACAGGTACATACCTACCCAACAAATAAATCAATTGAAGTCATCCTTAAAGGTAGGGGTCTGTAGATCATTTGCAGCTATCCAAAAAAGTAACGGACCATATTATTTTTAAAAAGCTTACTGGGATTAAAGATAGTAATGGCACTTAACTCCCTGTGAAATTATTTCTTCTGGCATGCTGTCATTTTGAAGAAAACAATAAAAAGAAGGTCATTTCCAAAGATGCGTCAGGTGACTCATTTTTGGAAATTTCTGTTAGTAGTTGGTTTGTACTAACTAATTACATGTAGTACCACTAATTAGTTGGTTTGTACATGTACATGTAATTCGACGAATCTGTGAATGGGTGCGCGCAAGCGTTGACATGGTTGACACGATGCACACGCGCGTGCTGTTGTTATTATTCGTTGGTTCAGTGTGTGACATCGCGTACATGTACATGTAGCTGCAATCAGCTGAACAAGAACATGTCCTGGATGCTGATTTCGGGAGCAATTCAAAAATGACTTGGCAACTTTTATATTGAAACTGAGATCCTACGGTAGAATATTGTTTTCTCGGAATATACAGCATTCAAAGCTAAAACTTCATCAAGTTAGTCGTTAAGCACCCGTCTTTAGATTTTGGGCACTTTTGTGGCTTCAAATAAAACAAATGCACAAATGATCTACTCTTAATGATACTTAAATGACAAATTACAATGTACATGTACCAACATGACCAAGGTACAACGTAACAGGGACAGGCAAAATGTCACACACTTTGGACCCTAAATTTGCAAATGATCTACATGTACATGGGTGGCAAGGGTGGCTTGTGCGTAAAGCGCTCGCCTCTCACCAAGGTGACCACGGTTCGAATCCTGGCCGCGGATCGCATGGAGTAGAGTTGTGCGTTGGTTCTCTCTTGTGCCACGTGGGTTTTTCTCCGGGCCCTCCGGTTTCCTCCCTCTGGAAAAATCAAACACTTTCGATCTCAGGCTGTGCTCCGTGGTCATGTGGGTCGATGTGGCCGGCAGCCATAGGCGCCTTTACGTGCCAGCGGCCCGACCACGTTGTAGCCGCGTCCTTCGCAATTCAGCATACCAGCTGCGAGTAAGGATGATTAGCCTCCCAAATTATTATTATTATTATTACGGTATGTTCATGTAGGTCTACTACGGGGGCAAATTTTATTGAGCTTGTACATTGTAAGCACAGAAATTCACTTAGCGCTACAGGTTACCAGCCAAAAAGTCATACAATGTTCACTGTACAAGGTACATGGCTTGTGACCAGTTCCAAGCTCTTCTGCTGTTAAGTTACAACATAAATTTGCGAATTTTCTCTGCGACTATGGGCTCCGTGCACAATTAAGTACCCCCTCAACGGCAAGAAAGGGAGAGTTGGGGGAGACCACTGTGAGAAACATTCAAACAATTGCTGACGACACCTGGCGCTCACGCGAAGATGCTATGAGTTTTTGCACAGAAAAGAATAAGATATAAGTGCGTACTTCGTGCTATACGCGCATGATCCGGTACGCTCATGCCGTGTGTCTCGTCCATGGAACTCTCCAAATTACCGTAGTATAAAAAAAGTCTCCTCTAGTAGCGTGGAGCCCATAGGCCTGGCTTA